CACACACACACACACACACACACACAGAGAGAGAGAGAGAGAGAGAGGCTCCTGTGCCCTCTATCTGGAGAAGGAACAAATCTAAATGTGTATAATAAGGACAGGGTTAATATCTGTTTTATTTTATGACAAAAGTAATCTCACGTTATCTCTGGTTGAACTGGATCATTTGCATAAAGGCTTAATGAGACTTATGTTGTGAACATTTTCTAAAATTTCACTCTTCTAAAGGTATGGTTCAAAGGGAAAAGACATACCTATTTTATTAAGCAAGAAAATTGCTCCAGGAATCTAGGATAAAATATTTTCCTTGTAATTTTAATTCACTTAAAATTGTGATTTTACTGATTTACTTCTTTAGTTCATTCTTTTAAGCTCAAGAATGGATAGCCAAGTGTATAGCATTTATAGGCTTCATTTGGAAAATGGACATTATTTACCTTAAAAGTGATTGAGAATGTGAATCTGGGATTCTGTTAAGATCATAGCTAACAAAGGCACAGAATAAAAAGGAACTGGTATCTGATAAGCCAATGACAGATATTGAGTGGATAGACACACGAATAGATTAATGAATAGATAGAAAAACAGATAGATGGATAATACAGATGAATGAATTAATAGAGACACAAATGAATAGACAAGTAGATGACAGATAATAGGAAGATATTCATAGATCAATACATGGTTAGAAAATGGATAGCGTGATGCACATAGATGAATAGATGACTGGGAAGCAGAATAAAGAGTTGATATCTAAATGAATATAGCTAGATGGATGGACAGAGAGGCGCTAGAGGTTGATGAATGTAAGGGTAAATCTGGAATGAAATCACAGATAGATGCAAAGGTACCACAATATCATAATTGTGCCTGGCTGGAATGGAAAGATATACAGATAAATAAAAGAAATAATAAATAAATAAATCTCTTCATGGATATTTAAAAAAATAGTTGGACTGTTTTGGAACTATATAGACTGTAAGTAGGACAGGCATCTCTAAGAGTTCTGAACTTTCACAATAAATACTCCAATGATAAGAAAAAAAATACACGGATGTGCTATGATTAGGTTACTCCTGAATCTCCCATAATGCACCCACTGTTCTGGTCCATTTGACCTCTCTGACATCTGCTTGAACAATGTGCAGATACAGAGACGGAAGATGAAGTCTGCTTTCTTTGCACCCTTGGTGCATTCTTGATAACAGACAAAAACCATTCCTTTTGGCCCCTTCTTTAATTCTGATATTCCCATGCACCTTCAGGGGGAGACCTACTCAGGAAGGCCTGGTGCTGTAATTAATCCATGTCACAGGAGGACGTGGTATAGGCAGAATTTATGAGTGGGTTTGAGCTGCTGTGATGTGTAGGAAACCTCAGCCCGTGTGATATAAATGCCTCTGCTAATTGGATTGCCAGAGCTAATCAGAAGCCAGGAAGGGAATTAAAAAAAAAAAAAAAAAAAAGCACTGTTTGCTGCTGTGCTGCTGCTGCTGATAAAGCGGACAGCTCCTTTCAGGACAGAAGGTGCTGGAATTGAATCCTCAGGCAGAGGTTTTACTCCAGAAAGCTTTCTCAAAGGTGACACATCCCTCTGTCACCAGGACAGGAGGAGGTAGATATGACCATGGGAGAAAGGACAGAGATTTTTTTCAAAGAGTTTATTTATTTATTTTTTACTACCAAACTGCAAAAAGAGATGAAAGGCACGGAGGCCACTGTGGGAAAGTGCCCACAGTCTAGGAGCAGGGAGCGCTGGAAGGTTTCCGTAAAGGGAGCTTCTGTTTCCAGGAACATCTGTTTTCAGGACAGGTGAGCATGCCCAACTCCGTTTTGGGGCATGGCTTCAGGAGTGAGCAGCTATGTCTCGGTGGCCAAGAGGAGCACACAGGACAAAGCCACAGCTAGCTCGTCATTTAGTGTATCATGCTTATGTGCCCACTTTTCTGAAGATGAGAGACCAGGCCTGTGGGGCAGGTGCATTTCAGAGAGCCGAAGGGCTGGGGTTGTGAAGAAGGTTAGGAAAAAGCCCAGATGTGAAACCCCTCACTTTGGGGAAAACCATGGGAGCTGCGTGGCAACTCCCCATCTGTCCTCTGTCTTTCTGTGCTTTGGATGAGGGTGGAGATAAAGCAAGTATCTGCTCACTGTCCTGAAGACCTTTCCCCTCCAAGGACCAATGGTTCGTTCCAGCAGAAAGCACGAGAGGTGTCTAAGGAAACCCTGACTCCACCTTGCTGGCTTAAGCCTCCGCCATTCTCTGCAGAAGAAAAATTGGTTCTTAATATTTGGTGTCACCAATCTGAGTGCCCTGTGGTTCTCATCAAATCCTACCCCCCCCATTCTTTCCCCTCTGCTATTACCACTCTTTTGCTGGTATTTCTTTGGCAACCCTCTCTCTACGCCCCAAAGCCCTGCCTCAGAGGTAAATCCTTAGCCTCGATGAGTAGGCAGCAAGCCCCTCTTGCACACAACAAAGAGTCTATTTTTCCCCCCTCTATCTTTTGGGCGACACGATAAAAAATAACCCTGTATTTATGCAAATTGCAAAGTAGCGTGTGATAATGAAAACAAAACAGTGCTGGCCCGCAGCCAAGACATGGCGCTGACGGGGGCTCCCGACCATTTGGCTCTTGATTCTTCAGGGAAAGCAGCTGTAGAGAAATGAGAATTCAGAACACCCTCCTCACACGCGCACATCCTCATCGGCACGCATTCCGGTACCCGTCACCTCGGAGCTGGCCAAACTTGGGGATCCAAAAAGCGGTTCTGCTTCCTAGCGCCGTTGAGCACTGCAGCGTCGTCCCCCACGAACCTCCCTGCCCCCTGCTCCTGATTCCCTTTCAGGAATTTACAAACATTTTTCCCCAGATCAATATCCGTATTGATTATTCATTGTGAGTGAGTCGTGTGTCTTTGGTGATCCAGCTTGCAGAGGGTAACAGCTAAAGGCTGCTGCAGGGGGTGGGGTGGGGGGGATAACAGAAGGCGAGAAGGACCCAGCTCTCCCCTGTGGTCTGTCGCAGTACAGAAAGGAAGAAGACCCGAGAAGAATGCTCCAGGATGTAAGGATGGACGAGGATGGGAGAGAAAGAGCGAGCAACAGCAAGAAAGAGCAAAGCGAAGACTGGACATCTGGTCTTAGGAGTCTCCAAGGCGTGGAAGAACGCACCATCATCTTGGGTCTGCTGTCAGGTGCAAAATGCTGTGGACTGCTCTGCTCTGGGAATGAAAAGTGACTCACAGTTTTGATGTCTCCTACGTAAGAGCTTTGGGGGGGATTCCTTGGCTTGCTGACAGACAAGGAAGGACGCAGCAGCAGTGAGGTAAAAAACCACCATTCCTTTCCAAGTGCCTTGCCGAGGATATGTGCTTGATCGGTTTGCCTTGAACAGCTTGCCGCTCTAATGGCAGGAGGGGGAATAATTAAAAAGGCCAGCATCACTTACTAAGTGAGTAAACACAAAGCCTTTCCAAACGTGCTCTCCAGTTAATGAGAAGCTGTGATTTCTTATACTTCAAGGCAAAACAAGACAGGGATGGGGGCTCAGCGGAGTGTGTGTCTGCGTGTGGACATGGATACAGGGGTGGGCGGTGGTCGTTGGTGGTGGAGATAAATCGACTAATTGTTGGTGATGTTTAAAAAAGGGATTACTGGAAAAGACGGTGGGATGATGACAGGAAGACATCTTGGATCAGAGCCAAAAAAATAAAAAAAAAAAAAAATCGAGGCAAATCAAGTCTGTGGCTCAGAGGAAACACCATGGCTCCTCCGGTGGGAAGCTCCAATGGGAACTGGCCAGAATTCCTCAACGGAGTATGGGAATATTGTGTGGGGACAAGAAGACAGGACTGGGGACTACCACAGTGTCTAGAGGAAAGAGTCATAGCATGCCAGCTTACACAGTTAATGGCACACATGAAGTAAAAACTCCTAACTCAAACCCAACCCAAAGCAAAACAGTCAAAACCAACCCATCCTTTTCTTTGCATTGGAGCCATCCTGCCCACTTAAAATTGCTCCAGTCTACTAAAAGCAACCCCTAAGCATGCCGTCTGCTGCTCCTGCTGTTTGTCTCCAGGAAGCTGCTGAACAGGACAAAAGTGGGAAGAGAAGGTTGGGGAGACTCACTTTTCCATTGGCTGGGCTTCTGGCCAATGTGCCAGGTGATCATCTTTTGCCTTGTGGACTATCATATGGGAAGCTGGTTTGGGGATCCCTCTTCTGTTATCACCCAGCTGTGGCTTGGTGAGTCCCAAACCAGCCATGAATAGGACCCTTAATACAGTGTTCTAAACACACATTGACAGAGTGAGACCCTAAGGAATAAAAGCAGCTGGATTTTCCTGTTTCTGGGTATGCAGTTGACTCAGCTCTATGGTTCTCTTTTCCATTAGTGGAAGTGGGGTTTACAAAAAATTCTGGGTCTGCAAGTTCAAAACAGACAAAAATCTCCTGGAATGGGCTTTTTGACTTTCATGTTACTCCTTTAATTTGTGCTTCCCAATGCATACCAAGTTTCTCTGAGCAGGAGAGATACCTCCTTCAGAAGCGAGTCTTAAAGACCCAAAGGATATGGACTAAATCCAGCTATGGGTGACTCCGGGGAGCACACTGCATGCCTTCAGAGATCACAGAGACTTGTGCCTGTGCTGTTTGTGAGTGCATGCATTGGCATCATGTTCAGTGTGTGCTTGCATGTGTGTGGCTCAGTGTCTGTGTATATCTCAGAGAGGGAGGGAAAGAGTGAGGGTTGGTCGGTGCAGATTGAATGGGTATTTATGTAATCCATGCACAGCATGTTTTATGCTGTGAGGCAGACTGCCACCCATCTCTGGACTCTGCGGCTTTGGAGGGCCTGTAAAGACCTGATCTGAATGTTAAATGCATGAGACAAAATTAGCATACTAACCAAGGATGTCAACCCCTCCTTGCAATCAGTAAATGGCCGTCCCCTTTCTCTAAAGCCGGTAAAACCATGCGCGTCAGCCACTTAACTACGTCCTCTGCCAGATCCTTTTTTGTTTGTTGTTTTGTTTTTGTTTTTTTGATGAAAGAGTGGAAATTCATTAATAAGGAGGGAAGGAAGGACTTCAAGGGGCTGTAATGAAAACAAATGATCCTCTTTAAACCTCATGAGGGCCACAGCCAGGGGGTGGGGCTTTGCTTTCTGCTCTGTGGCTGGAGAATAGGAAATTCCACAGACAACAGACCACTTGACGAAAACCAAAGAATGCATGGCTTGGGAACAGTTCTTCTATGTGGCACAGACCAGCCTCGATTAGCTTGTCTGTGTTAATAAACTTACAGTGACCTTTATCTTGATAGCTGTAAATGATGTGTGGTCTACCAGATGTCTTTCCATTTGCTATTCAGGCATAGGTTATCAAAGTTTCTTGACCTTGTAAGGATAGGAAGAATATTCTGGAATCTTTTGAGCAATTACTTCTTCTGTGTGTGTGCGTGTGTGTGTGTGTGTGTGTGTGTGTGTGTGTGTGTGTGTGTGTGTGTGTGTGAGAGAGAGAGAGAGAGAGAGAGAGAGAGAGAGAGAGAGTCTCAGAGAATCTCATTCTGTAGCCTGCCTGGAACTCATGGTAATTCTTCTGCCTTAATGTCCAACTATTGGGATTACAGGCATGAGCCTCCACAGCTGGCTTGCCTTCTCTCTCTCTCTCTCTCTCTCTCTCTCTCTCTCTCTCTCTGTGAGATAGGGTGACATGTAGCTTAGGCTGGCCTCAAAGTTTCTAAGTAGACAAGGATGCCCATGAACTTCTGATCCTCCTGCCTGTACCAACCTAGTGTTGGCATTACATGTGTGCCCCAACAATTTTATGCAGTGCTGGGAATCAAACCTAGGGCTTTGCGCATGCTAGGAAAGCACCCTGCCAACTGAGCCACACCGCAGTCTCTTGCCTCTACTTTTGAAGTAATACAAATCTTCCTTTTGGGCTATGCCCTGGGTCTTAGTAGAAACAGTAGTTGCTTTTAGTTTAATCTCTGGCATACGATGACGTGACAAAGATTAAAGATTTGACGTCTGATTTTGGAGAGTTCTGAATACTGGTTAAGAGCTGAGAGTCAGCCAATCTAACCCATTAGGCTGGTAAAAGTATATATTTTTCTTTTCTCGCCTCCCCTCCCCTCCCCTCCTCTTCTCTCCCTTCCTCTTTTATTCCCTCTACTTTGTCCTCCTCTTCCTCCTTCTCTTGCAGTACTGGAAACTGAAACCTGGGCCTTGAACACACTTGACAAGAACTCTACCATTGAGTTATATCTAAAAACTTCTTTTAAATTTGAGAGGGTCTTACCAAGTTACTCAAAATGCATTGACTTGGCTTTGAACTTGGGATCCTCCTGCCTCAGCCTCGGGAGTAGCTGGGATTACAGGTTTGTGCCACCAGGCCTGGTACCTTTGTTCTTTGTTTTGATCACTCTATCCTTATCCTTGGAAACAAACTTCTTTTCCATTGTTCTTTACTTGTTTGGTTTTCAACTGGGGTTATATACTCTGAAGGATCAGGAGCTCATTTTGAATACATATTGTGGAGAAGTCAGCAGAGCCTCTCAGCCTGGATCACCTGGTATTTAGAGTAATAAAAGTCCTGCCTCATTGCTTGACCTTCCAGTGTTCTAACAGGTGCTAGACTTTGTGTGTTTAAATAGACAGTGTAGGGCTGGAGAGATGGTTCAGTGGTTAAGAGCACCGGCTGCTTTTGTAGAGGACCCGATTTGATTCCAGGCACCCACATGGTAGCTAACAACCGTCTGTAACTCCAGTTCCAGGGAATCCTGTGTCATCTTCTGATCTCCACAGGCATTGCACATGGGTGCACTTACATACATGCAGGCAATACACTTATATACATAAAATAAAAATAAACAAAATTAAAATAATAACTATTAATTTAAACTATTTTTTTTTTACTGTATTGGAAATTGACCCCAGAGACTGAAACATGTTGGGCAAGCATTTTACTATCATTCAGACACACTCACAGTCCCCAAACACACCAATTAAAAAACTATCTGTCGATTAAATAACATATTGTCAATGAAAGTTTTACAGTCGTTGTAGTTAAAATACCCTCCATAGGTGATTTTATTTTTTTAGAAATTAAAAGTACATTAACCATAACATACAAATATCATAGAAGTATGTTCTATTGAGCTAGCAGGAAAAGACTAACTAGAAACAATAAAGAGAAGGGACATGGACAAACATAACCTGCTCCCTCTGGGGCACTGCCAGCCTGGGTGATGCCAGCTTTGTCTAAGGTAGTGAGTGACCTTCGCAAATATTTGTTTCTAAAGGTCATAACTTGGAAGATTAAATATCTAGAAAGAAATGTGTTTGCCAATTTTTTTTTCTCATTTTTCTGAGGCAGGAGCTCATCATGTAGTCCAGGATGGCCTTGAACTTGAGATCTTGTCTCAGCTTTCCAAGGACTAGGACTGTAGGTACATATCACCACACTTCGCTTCTCCCAGTGTAAAGCTAAGTTTAAAAATTATTTGTGATTATGGTTACTTTAATTTTTCCTCTTTTTAAAAATTTTAATTTTCCATGTGGTATATGTATATATAGTATATATATATTTGTGTGTTCATGTGTTTATGCATGTGTGCAAGTGGGTACATGTGCATTTGTCTGTGTGTGCATATGTGTGTATATGGAGGCCAGAGGTTAATGTTGGGAACCTTCCTCTTTATCCTGTTTTATTTTTGTCTTTTTTGGGACAAGGTCTCCCTGTAGCCCCAGCTGTCCTGGAACTCACTATGTAACCAGGCTGGCCTTGAACTCACAGAGATCTGTCTCCCTCTGCCTCCCGAGTGCTGGAATTAAAGGCATGAAACAGTCTCTCATTGAACCTGGAGTTCACCGATTGGCTGGACTGGCTGGCCAGCAAGCCCCAGGGATCTATCTGCCCATCTCTACTTTGCCCAGAGATAGGGTTGCAGACAGATGTCACTGCACCCGATTTTTAAGTAAGTCCTAGAGGTCCTGAACCTGGGTCCTTATGTTTGTATGGCAAGTACTTTACCAAATGAACCATTTCCTCAACCCCAACATTTTATTTCCTGATTGAAAAACAAAGCCAAACAAAACAACAATAGAAAACAGTACCTCATGTCTGCAAATTTTCTCTCCCCAGTAGTTAGGGAGAACATAAATACTGAGATAGAAATCCCCAGAAGAGAGAAATCCTGCCTGTAGTTTGGAAGAAAGTTTTTCCCTGGTGCCTGAAATAGCTTCAACAGAAAAAGGCTCCTTAGCAAATGGCAACGGGCAGTGAGAAGGCCTCTGTTCTCACACGGCGGCATCTCACAATCTTACGAGGCTTTTCCAATTTCCAAAGTGCTCTTCACACATTTCATCCTGTTTCATTCTCACTACAGCCAGTGATACAGGCGAGCTATATAGTGTGTGGCTCGTTTTCCAGATGAGAATACTAGGTTCTGAGAGAGGACTTGCCCAAAGTGAAGAGCCACAGAGAAACAATCACAGGGCATCAGGGTCTTAATCTGATGACATTATTATTATCCATCAAGGATACCCTCTTTTGAACTCCTGACCCAAAGCATCCCAGAATCTTGGTTCTCTCTCATACCTCACCTCTTCACCACGAGGTCTCTATCATGTTGCCTGTGTGATTTCTATTATGCACAATTCGAGAATGTTCCCTGTGTCCTGTTTGCTATTAAGAACCA